CCCAACTGGCGCCCCAGATGCCTCCAACAGGGCCCCAAGAGACCCCCAAGAGGCCCCAAGAAGCTCTCCGAGGCACCCAAGACGCTCTAAGAGGCGCCCGGGACCGCCAAGAGGCCCCCAAGACGCTCCAAAAGGCTTCCACTGGGGGACCCTACCTCTGCGCGCTGCCCACTTCCCTGATCGAGGCACATCCTCTGGGCATCGTTTCTGGATTGGCTGGCGGGGTTATTTTTTTGGTTCGTGGCTCCAAGACAAGAGACAGGGAGCGAGCACAACGGCCGGGGCGCGGTACGTAGATAATTGGCGCGAGATTGCCGCAGTTTCCAACGGACAACACACGCAGCGCACATGCACATGCCAAGGGCAAAACGCCCCTCATTGAGACGCATTTCAGCGTCTGCTGGTGACCGGCCCAGAGAGCCCGGCAGGTGGGGAAGCAAAAGGCGCGGCAACGAGGCGGCATCGGAACGGGGGGGAGAAGTCGCCCTTGCGGCGCCAAGCTCCAGCCGAACCGCAATCGGAAGCGACGCCAAGACGGACAGCAAGACACTGTAATAAGCCGCGGGCGGAACGCGAGTCCGAGCGGCCAATGACCAGACGGAACCCACGTGTGTGCACACTGAGCCAGGCCGTCCAAGACCTCGGAAAAAAGGGGGTGAGCGCGAGCGAGAGCAACTAACTCAGACTCACTGCAGCTCCACGAGCAGACGATGATGCGGCGAGGGTGACCCGACTCACCAAGGCCCACTGAAGCTGAGGTGTGGCTGATCCGCGTCAGAGCACCATTCAGTAAAAGGCAAACCACTGGTGTGCGCTCACGAGGCTGAGCAACCTCCAGCCGGTAGCCTGTGCGCTTACGTCGTATCCGAATCACGCCGTTCGGGGGCACAACGATGCAATTGTACTGACGAGGGCTAGGGTTGTGGCTGCGCCGAGAAAAGCGAAACGAACTCGAACCGCAGAAGGCTGAACCACTTGATGCGGGGCCGTTCACTTTGACGAAGCCAAATACCATGTGTATGGCGGACAGCCGCACCCGCTCAACACCTGCCACGGAGCGCTTCGGAGCGCTTGGGGAGCGCCTGGGAACGCTTAGGAGCGCCTGGGAGCGCTTGGGAGCGCTTGGGAGGGCCCACAGGAGCGCCTGGAAACGCTTGGGAGCGCCTGGGAGCGCCTGGGAGCGCCTGGGAGCGCCTGGGAGCGCTTGGGAACGCCTAGGAGCGCCTGGGAACGCTTGGGAGCGCCTGGGAGCGCTTGGCAGCGCCTGGCAGCGCTTGGCAGCGCCTGGGAGCGCATGGGAGCGCCTGGGAGCGCTTGGGAGCGCTTGGGAGCGCCTGGGGGCGCCTGGGAGCGCTTGGGCGCGCTTGGGAGCGCTTGGGAGCGCCTGGCACCGCCTGGGAGCGCTTGGGAGCGCTTGGGAGCGCTTGGCAGCGCCTGGGGGCGCTTGAAAGCGCTTGGCAACGCCCAGGAGCGCTTGGGAACGCCTGGGACCGCGTGAAGCTCAGCGCGTGCGCCGGCCCGATAACGATCTGGGCGCTCGACTATCGCTCGATTTCAGAGCGGAAAAGGTTCGACATCGGTGCGGCGGAGCTCCGTATGGAGCCACGAAACGTGTGAGTGGCGCGCTGGAGTTGCGGTGGAACTGCATGCGGACCCTGCCACTGGGGCCTTCGGCGGAGCTCCCTACGGGGCCACTAAATGTGTGAGGGGTACGCCTGAATCGGGGTGGAACTGCATGCGGACCCTGCCACTGGGGCCTTGGGTGGAGCACCCCACGGAGCCACGAAACTTGTGAAGAGTGCGCTGAAATGGGGGTGGAACTGCATGCGGACCCTGCCACGGGGGCCTTCGGTGGAGCACCCTATGGAGCTACGAAGCGTGCGATGTGTACGCCAAAATTACGGTGGAACTGCATGCAGACCCCGCCATTGGGGTTGGGGCCTTCGGCGGAGCAACCTATCGGGCCTCGAAACGTGTGCGGGGTGCGCCGACATGGGGGTGGAACTGCATGCGGACCCTGCCACCGAGGCCTTGGGTGGAGCACCCTATGTGGTTAACCCACTGCCGACAATACTAAAGAGTACCCCCCCCCTTAACACGCTAGAGTTGATTATCGTCGGCCAAGAAGAGTTTGGTCAGCGGCGGGGGGCGCGGGGGCCGAACCTCATTATCACTGTGAAAAGTTCATCATCGAGGTTATTTTCTTGTTTATGTTGAGATGACAGCATAACTCTCTCTCTCTCTGTCTACCTCTCTCTATTTCTCTCTCTTTTTCTCTCTCGGTTTATCTCTTCTCTTGTCCCTTTCTTCTCTTTCTCTTTCTCTTTCTCCCCCTTCCGCCCCCCCCCAAAAAAATTGTTCATCGCTGTGGTTTGCTGTCCACGGAAACCGAGGACCATGGACTACCCTACACGAGCAGGTGAAAATCTCAATTTCCATTGCACGTTTACACATTGAATACGTAGCACCCCGCAATTGCGGATAAGAGTGAGGGGGCGGG